CGTAGCATTTATTGAATGCCTTCTGCATGCTAGGTTCCTTGCAAGACACTTACATACATGTTGACTTTGTTTTCAGTAGAGAGGTACAATAAATTATGTTAAAGCCTTAATTAGGGTTTTCTTTTTTTTTTTGTTGGCCCATTATTATTTTATATTTAATCCATTATTATTTGTTTTATATGCCATTTTTTTTTTAAAGATTTTATTTATTTATTTTTCCCCCCAAAGCCCCAGTAGATAGTTGTGTGTCACAGCTGCACATCCTTCTAGTTGCTGTATGTGGGACGCGGCCTCAGCATGGCCAGAGAAGCAGCACGTCGGTGCGAGCCCGGGATCCGAACCCGGGTCGCCAGCAGTGGAGCGCGCTCACTTAACCTCCAAGCCACGGGGCCGGCCCTATATGCCATTTTATAGCGAAATTCAAGAGTTTATGCCTTATTTCTAAATATTTACTATACTTGGCCTTATACACTGAGGGCTTTTTTCAGTGTATCTGTGAGGCTTTTCTGTGGCTCACAACGTAGTTGGCGTTTAGAAGCCTGCTGCACTGTGTCTGAACTTGACCTCTGTATGTGGATACCCTGTTGTGACACTCTCTGCAAGGAGTGCAGTAAGGTATAAGATACAGTGGTGAAGAGTGAGGCTTTCAGCTACACAGATGTGGTTTCAGCCGTGTCTCTGCCATCCAGGAGTCCTGTTGCGTGGATGTGGTGTTGATCCACTGTGCTCTACCATTTCCTCATCCATAACATGGAGTTGATGATAATGCTTTCCTTAGAGGCGGTGAGGAGAACTCATGGGGTGTTGTTATAATATATGGAAGTTGCCAGTTACATTATAAGTGTTTAATAAGTGATGACTATTATTTTTTTTAATTTTAGAGAAATTAAAGGAAGTCTGCATTTAGTTTTGTGTTCTGTGGTGGTGGTTCTCAGTCCATTTTGTTACCTTGAGAAAGTATATCTAAATATGAAATTAAATAATTTAAATAAAGTGTTTTATTTACAAACGTTACAATTGTAGATATAGTTAACTCTGACTTATACATAAGTTATTTATCCACGTTGCTTTATACTTTCTCAGAACAGTCATGTCCTCTGATTATCTTCACTGATTGAATTTTTTTTGCTTGTTACTACTGGAGAAACTATTTAAACCAGCTCCCTTAGACCGCTCAGGAACAACTGTGGGTCATTTAAAGGCAGAGACAGAGAAGTCAGCTCTGCTTCATGTAGAGGGAGTGCTGGTCAGCAAAACTAAGCAACGTGAGGAAACACACTACCTTGCATCTGTGCTACCCTTACAGAAACCCTGCAGATAGAGTAAGCATTATTATCTGTTTTATAAATGGGGGAAATAAAGGTTCAGGGAAGTTCAGCACCTTGCCTAACTTCACACGTATCATCAGTGACTAGGCCAGCATTCTGATCTAGATTCCAATCTAGATCGTCTGATTCCAAATCCATTATGTTTTCCTAGATACCACTCACCTTTGTCTGAACCTTCCCTGAATAAGCTCTCTGGAGTGTGGCTTCAGTACTTTGTGTTTAAAGCGTATACATACTTGATTTCAAATGTAGGTAGATACCAAAACTCAGTCTTTTTTTAATCTTTCACTTTTTTCCCCCATGTCACTGCCCTGCTCTGATAGAATAAACACTGAAGAAGGAACAGTATTGAAGATGAGTTTTTTAAGTTCAACAAAAATTCACTTTAAAGATCAAAACCAAATTCTTATTCTATCAGACCCCTACTATTTTCTTTTTAAAACAGCTTGTATAATTCTCTTTTGCGTACTCTAAATTGGGCACAGTTATTCAAAAGGGAGTTAATACTTAGCATATGTAACTACAAATTAAAAGGGCTCTAAAAGTACAAATTTTCATTAATAAATTAGAGATGGCATGGTCTGAAGGCAGAGGATTGTAGAGGAGGTAAAACTTTACCTCTACCCTGTTAGGTTTTCAGCTGTGATTCTTTAACAAAAAGATTAACAAGAGAAAAACAGAAGTTTATTAACATATATACCTGGGAGATACTCAGGGGAAAATGAACAACTCTCAAAGAGATGGCTTTAGAATTCAAGATTAAATACCATTGTATAAGAGAAAGGGGAGGGGATATGTAGGCCTCTTAGGGGAGAGTCAGTGATTTATAGGAAAGATGAATGGGCCTTTTGAAGAAGAGATGGGAGGTAGGATAGCTTGTGACAAAGTTTGTCTGGGGGGATTTATGACAATTGAGTTCCTTTTGGGGGCTTTATCTTAAGGCAGATAAGGGGAGTTCAGAGAAAGCCTCTCCCTGCATTTGCTGTTTTTCAAGTGCTACAGCTCAAAATAATCAATATACCAAAGCTGCATATTTTGGAGTGGCATGTCCTGAGGTCCTACAGCCATGTTTCGGGGTGGCATATTCTGTTACCCTTCCAAAGTCAGACTTGTTCGACATTATATCCCCAGTGCTAGTGCCTAGCACAGTCTCTGTGAATCCAGGATTTAGTAGATGTTCAGGAAACATTCATTGCACTCAGTGACTGGATGGATGGGTGGATGGATGGATGGATAGATGGGTGGCAGAAATGGGAGAAAGAATGTTAGCTCCTTCGTTCATTCTGCAAGTAGAATATTAATACATTATTTGGCTCCTTCTGTATTTCACAGCTTCCGATAGCTTCAACTGTTCTGTCAAGTTGTAATAATATAGAATTGTTGCTCTGGTCCCTCCAAATAAGTACCTATTATCAGGCTGTTTTAGAGACTGGGTTATGCTGACCTTCCAAGCTACTTAAAACTACTTACACAAGAGTAATAATACTAATTTACTTTTATGTTTGCAATGACTATTTGCATCCATTATGTCGTTTGACTTTGAAAACAATGGCCTTTCAAAACAAAGCCATGTATTAGAGCACAGACCCTACAGCTAGACTCCTGAATTTCAAATCTTGCTCCTCCACCAAATCACTATGTGATTTGGGCAAATGACTTAACCTTTCCAAGTATCAGTTTTCTCATCTGTAAAACGGGGATAATAATTGTACCCTTATAATAAGATTGTCATAGAAATTAAATGAGATAATGCAGGTAAAGTTCTTGGCATAGGGCTTGGTCTCAGAAAGGCTTCAATAATTCGTTATCATCTTAGTGGTAGTAGTAATAATAACTGCTGGATGTTACATATCTGCCGTTCTGTACTTTAATTTTCTTCAGGGTGAGGCCTGTGTGTTGTTCATCTCTGCATCCTCTTCTAACATAGGTGGGTTAGGTATTCAACAAATAATTATTGAATGATTGAATGAGGTAGGCAGTTAATTTTTTTTTTTTTAAGTCAGAAAGTTGTTTTCCAAATGACTAAACTTAGGCTCAGGGAAGTTACCCCTAACAGGTTTTGAGCAGCTGCTATGAATCAGTCACATAGGTTATGTCATTTAATCTTCAGGCAACTTTATGAAAGGTTCGAATAGTGTCCTGGGATTCAAACCCACATCTTTGAATCCTGACCCCAGAACCATTTCCACAAAACTCTCCTGCCTCTCTTACAAAATATACAAGAATTCTTCCTGGGTCAGTTACTAGTATATAATCATTATAGCATTTGGGCAGATAACTTTATGAGTTATAAAATAAATTGATGAAGTTTTATTTACTTGCTAGATCTCAAAGAAAACTGTACATGAAAACATTATACTATTCTCAGTGTCCTAGCTTTTTGAATTCTAGAGAAAGGAGAAGACCAGGTAACTGAATGTGAATATGACAAAATGAACGAATAAGAAAAGACAAGTCTGAACAGATAGAGAAAGGGTAGGATAAGTGAGTGCTTTACAAATGAAAGCAGATGTATGAAATTACAAGCTGTCAGATCAGCCACGGAAATGAAGATGATAAAGTGGTTCCTTACATAGATTATAATTATTCATTTTGCCCAGTCCTGTCTCCTTTCCCCATAATGTTCTCGGGAAGGGGGAGGGAGTGGGAAGCGATAGCAAGAAATGGTGTTTCCAACCCAGAAGAAGAAAAAAAAAATTCTAAGAATCAAAGGTATTTCTGATTACAAATAATTGTTTATTTTGTGATTTGTGTTGTTTCTATTGAATCACAGTTGTTCTCCTGTGGAATATTTTTCAACGAACCATTCTGATTAATGAAAAGGATTTGGTTGCAACCACAGGAAGTTGTGACTGTAAAGTTTCTTCACATCAGTGCTGTGGAGGCAGTCAGTGTGGCTTACAAAACAAGCGTCGTTAATGGGCTCGACTGTGACAGCACTGGCAGATGGATTGCCAAGAAATGAAGTAGTTTACATAGACCTGCCTGAAAAGATGTGTTTAATAATTGTGCCCATAATTAGGTTGATTTGAAAAAAAAATTAAATGACAGTCTAGGAACACAGTTAGACTTATCTATGAAGATTTTGACATTTTTCCTCCAAGAAATGCTGCTAGATATTCTCCCTAAATTTCTTGTTACCTTTAGAAAAACAAATAATTGAAAGAAATTATATTTTCTTTAATTTTGATTTATGTAATATTTATATATACAAAAGAATAAATGTAACATGTAAGTTACGAAGCGTAATAATCAGGGTAAATATTATTTTATGAGAATTTTGAACTGGTTCTTTCCCATTCATAAGATTTTTGTTACTAATTTCTAAGCAGCAAAACTAGAGACATTTAAACACAGCCATATAAATGGCAATAAATATGCATGCTAGTAATAGTTTATTTATATTGCAAACGCACACACATATCTATATCTGAGGCTCTTCCTTCCAGCACCCCCTGAGGATAAGTGCTAGTATATTAGATTGCAGTTAACAGTACAGTGTGCTGCTTCAAAGGCCATGTGGTAAAGATCCCTTCTCCCTGTTTCCTTTTATCAAATCAATTGAATTACTGATCTGCTTTCTTTGAATCTAAGTTGTTATATTTTTACTCGCAGTAATGCAAATATCTTAAACAGTATTGCTTCTGAATTATTTTTTTCCTTCTTATTTAGTGATCTCTAGTAACTACCAGACCTGTCTTGGCCTTCTGATGCATTACCCACTAATTGGGGATGTACACTCACTGATTCTTAAGGCTCTGTTCCTTCGAGATCCAAAGGTAAGCTTTCCAAGTAGGATATGCACAATTTTAAGTTGGGTGAAAAATTGATTTCTCTGTATGACTCCAAGAATTCCTAATGTAGAATGAATCTAATGGCAGATGAATTGCCTGATAAAAGAATTTGCCTAGAGTTGTAGACCAAAACTCACATACCTCGTTGGCTGGCAACTCAGCAGGCAGATTAACTGGACATTGCCATGAAAAACTGGAGTACACATCTCTTGTCCCTCAGAAGGTTGTTCTGTCTTTCCTCATGACTCAAGGAGGTGGGTTGAGCAACTGCTTCGCCTTATAACTACACTTCATTACCATTCGTACCCCTCACAGAGGCCAACTTATCCAAGTAGAGTCTTGGAGGCCATGTGAACACCAAGACATTAGAGCTATAAAAAGGACCAGTTATATAAGAATTTGTGATACAATTAAATACTAAATTATTTCATATTATGAATAGGTATTTCTTATTTTATGGGTGAAGAGTAACTAATAAAGATTTAAACAGTCTTTATTGCTGATTTCTCCATTGAACTTAAAGCAAGTCACCAAAATTTTCTTTACACTTCAGAGGAAAAGTGTGCTCTTTTACAACTAATGTTATATTTCTTGAAAATAAGAACATTTAATGATCTAAAAAAATCTGTGAATCCTTGATGCTTTTGAGCCAAACAAAAATATTGGACGAAGTATAAGAGAGAAAGCTTCAAACACGAGTATGAGAATGCCAGGCAATGGGTGGTAATCCCAGCCTTTGGCTCTTTGGCAGAACTCCCAACAGTCGTGTTGGCAGTTGTTGAACTGTCTTTGAGTCAGTCTGTCTGTGGATTCCATTGCCAAAGCTCTGTCTCATCAACTTGGGCCTCCAAGTTCAATGTAAATTTTGATTCTAAAGGATTTCTGCCCTTTCTTTGGTTGTTGACTTCAACATTTGAGTATGTCCTCTATTTATTCTTTGATTGATTTGAAAAAATTTATTTCCTTGTACCTATATTCATTTTCTGAAAAAATACACAATTTTATATGATTTCTCTTATATAAAATTTCATTAAGTATCAAAAATATAATCCATCATTTCTCTGATACATAAGGTAGCATATATATATTTTTTTTCTGGTAAGACTTGGAAGTCTGACTGAAAATCAAAAGCCCCATATTTATTTTTTTATGTATATATATGTAAGTTGTATAAGTTTATATTTTTTATAAAAAGTAACCAATATTATGAAATATCTGTAAAAGGAATAAAGAATGAGGTTGCTAGTCAATGAGATATATGAGTTTTGGTCTACAGACTTAAGGTAAATTCTATCAGCTCAATATTAGAAATTCTTAGAGTCATACAGAGTGGGAAAAAATTGCTAAAATGACTATTTGAATTCTCTACTTGTGTGATTTGTTTGGTTTAATTGAAAGAAGAAATGAATATGTTATCTAAACCTATCGATCTTGGTAATTTTTCCCTAGTTAAGTATGGTTGATTTTCCTATGAATCATTCACTCTTTTAGTTGTAGAATTCTCTATACTAAATCCATCAATGTTATTAGTGGAATCGGTGATTTTAATAGAGTACTTTTTACCTCAATAAGATAGTGTTCATAATATAAGAGGATAATGAAGCCAATTCCACAGTCATTAAAAAAACATATTCTCTAAGGTTTAAGGAAAAAAAAGTAATTAATAGTGTAAGTATCTAAAAAAAGGTATTCCCCACTTTTATATTCAGGGTCTCACCAAGTAAAAACATGATCAAGATAATGGTTCAAAATGTAGGACCTTACACTGATATTTCTGTGATATAAGAAATTGGGCAGGAGGGCGTCACGTTTAAAAATCTCTTGAGAACAAGTTCGTGGAATGATGATATCTATAGGAAAAATAAAGAAAGCTGTATAGTGTTAAGGGGCTTTCAGATGGCTAAGCCAGCAAGGGGATAGTTTTAGTTAAGTGTATATAATGACTGACCCACTGACATTATTTAGTAAATGTCAAATGATAACGAATATTACTTGCCACATGTGCTAATTGTAGGTCTGTTGCAGCATAGTTTCCTATAAGGAACCTGAGTTAGGAATCGGGACACTGTGTGAAATCTTGACTCTGCTACCAACCATCCTTTTGATTTTGGGAAACGTATGCTTACTGAGTCTTGGTCTTCTCTCTTGTGGTTGAATTAAATTGTCTCTAATGACTCGCCCAACCAGAGCATCCTTTGTCCATAAAGAACTGACTTCTCATGATCTAAGAAGATCCAATCCAGAGCTGCAAAGGTACAAATAAAAAAAAAAAAAAAACAGCAAGTTTATATCTGTTACAGAAATCCACAAGTGGACAGAGTTTTTAGTGTAGTTTATGTCAATTATAAAGTCATAAAGGAGGCCATTTACACTGAGGGGAAAAAAAGGGAAGGAAAGACGATTTTAGTACCCCACCCACATCCTCTAAAAATCCAGACATCAGAGTGCTTTAAATGTTTTCTATTTATTAGCAACAATGAAACACTTAAAATACTTGAATCATTCCTGATTCAAGTAGTTCAGAGCAAGTATATAAACACACCAGTCTCTATGAAGTGAACTAGTCAAAAGATGAGATTTGAGGCGTGCAAGTACACTTCCCATATCCCAGCTTCATATGACGATAGTGTTGAGTGTTGCTGACAGACTCAGAAAAATAAAAATAAACGAGGAACTCTGAGCTCCCCTAAATTCATTGTGAGCCTTCAGAAAAGCACTTTGGCCTACTGCTATCCCTGAATTCCAGTGGAGATGGCTCAGTTGAGAATACGCACTGCGAGTAAAGCTTAAAATACTGAGCTTTAATTGTTTTGTATCAGATATAGGCTTTATTGTGAAAAGAGAAGTCCTTATTTGAACAGACTGAAATAATGGGCCTCTAAATGTAATAATAGGACCATACTTCTTCACAGTTTCCAAGCACTTTATGTGCTTAATTTGGTTCTCACAACAAGCTGTGAGGTAGGCAGAGCAGGTTATCTTTCTTCATTCTTTTTTGGTGCAGAGAGGTCAAGATTATGTCGCTTTCCCCATGCCTAAAAGCTTGTAAGCTTCCAAGCTAGCTAAAGTCACTCCATGACTCTTGTATCTACTCATTCCCTCCTGAGATTCCCAGGATCCATTCTTCCTTCTCCAGAAAGCCATTTCCAGGCTCAGATAGGACATGTTTTCCCCTTTGAGTCTCCACAGCACCTTGTGTTTTAGCTATTTTTTATTTTATCAATTATTTCTCCGTATGATCCTGCTCATTTTTTGGCATTCAACTTTGTGTCCTGTAGTCGTTGGTATTAAGAAAATAATGGGAGAATTGAATTCTGACTCAAATGCTAAGCGTCTTCCAGTATACCATACTGACTCTAATCTAGGTGGATCTCACTCACCTAGCATATTTCTGGAACCCATATCCATATTCCACAGAAGCCACCAGTCAATTGTGTATTTGTCTGCTGCCATTTTTATCATGATGGTGAATTAATAACCATCTTGAATTTAACGGCATCTAGTTCCTTAATTTGCTGTGTTAGAATTATTTGAAAGCCTGTTACCACCTTCAAATATTGTGGAACAAAGAAGACCTAGCAAAGAATCTAGTTAACATACTTCACTTAGACTGTCATTTAGAATTTCAGAACTGCAAAGAACCTAGAGAGTCTAATCCAGCTCCTCCTTCTGTAGATAAAGAAATTGAGGATTAAGGTGAAGTTTAGAGACTTATTCAAGGTCACACAGCATAGCAATGGCAGAACCAGCAGTTGAACTCAGGTCTTCCAACCACCTTTCCACACAAGAGCTGTAGCTTCGTTAGTTTTAAAAATAGTGGAATCCTAGTTACTGATATTTCTCATACAAATTTTTCTATTTGTAATAGACATTTATTTGCATCTGTAATAAATGAAATTGCCATGTATGTAAGTGGCCCAAGAACTATTTGAGATTTTTTTAAATGTATACTGTATGAAGAGACTAGATGCTGTATGAAGAGACTAGAAGTCAAATATCTGTAGCATCCTATATTCTGTTCACCATAAATAGGGTTTCTATACTTAGCTCTTCAGACCACAGTCCTAATTCTCATTTTCTTGTCTTTATGATATTAGAACCACTGAGAAGATTTCCAAAAACAATCCACTAAATGAAGTAGAGGGATAGAAGGAGGACAGTCTGAAAAATATGAAGTGATTAAAAAACATCGTTCTAACTAGTTGTTCAAATTCAAAAAAAATTTTAAAACCCGATTAGAAACAAAAGTCATAGAAAATGTGAACATATTGTGTTCCTTAAATAACCAGATGTTCTCTCCTTCCTGAAGGCAGTAAGGGCTAGGAATAAAAGGTTTAAAACTATTGTTTTAAGTTAACTGTGAATTTTGCAAATCTGTTTTTACCCTTTAGCAAATAAAATTCTAATACGGAAACATAAGCAAAGTAATTTTCATTTTTTCGGTGCTCTCTTATTTGTGTTGTGTGTTGAAGTGTTAACCTTATCACAAAGACTTATTACAAATGAAATACAGTACGTGGATTAACATTTTAGATTATGTGGTAAGAATTTGACAGCTACTGTTTGTTTTGAAGACTAGAATATTCCCTCCAAAATATTTCTAGTAAGTTTGCAAGCAACCCTTTTAGCAGTGATGTGATTGTTTATGGAAGAAAATTGCTAGAAGTAAGACAATTTAATTTCATAGTCATTCTTGTACACAGAAACACGCTATAAAAATATAGTGTACAATAATCTTATGCTTGGCCAATTCTGATTTGGCTTTTGTTTGGAGTTATATTAAAATTTGCCTTTTTAAATTATAAAAAGTCTGAATATTCAGATTTCAGACTTTATGCAGATAATAGATTTTTATTCTTTTAATTCCAAAGAACCCCACTGTACATGCAACTTTCTTTAAATGTCAAATGACTTTGATAAAATGTCATATATCAGAATTGAAAAGCGGTGAATGGATTCAAACCTACTACCAGTCAGTTGACAGT